CTCTGGGTCTTAAAGCTTAAAAAAAAAAAAAAAAATGAAACCCAACCCAAAAGAAAAAAAAAACCAACCCAAAAAACTGGCCCTGAAGTATTTGTAAACTCAAAGGCTGACCCTGCTAAGTTGCTACTAAATGTATTGATGTATTTGGGTCAGCTTCTATATAAAACCCCACTGGCTTTAGGGCAGGGTTAAACCAAGCATGTGCTGTTCTCTGGGTCACTTGGCTTAACTCCTCCAAGCAGTAAAATCGGCTTGCGGACAGTGAGAAGGGGCTTGTGCTGATGGCACCGCCTGTCTGATTGGGCTAATGAGTGTGCCCGTGTACCGCATACCTGTGTTCAGAGAAAATACGACTGCGGATTTTAGTCGGGGCAAGCTGAAACAGTTTTGTGCTGGTGCTTTGTTGCGCTGTCAAGGGACCTGGTGATTGGACCTACTCTTGTTTTACATGTTAAGCTGAAGCATGTCTCCATTCTTAAATTGAACTTGAGTATTGAACTGTTGACTGTAGTGTTGATGGATAAAATGGCATAGTATGGCTTCCTATGGAGTAGCAAGGCGAGGAATGAGGAGCTTTCCTTCAAGAAAGCTTATCTACTGCTGCAGGTTGGCAAATACCAGGGATGTAGTATGTGGCTGTGCGTAAAAGGTCAGTGGTGGTTCTTTGGTGAGAAAATTAACTTATGAAATGAAGATGTGGAAGTATTAGGCGTGAAGCTTATTTTGATACATATGTGGAAGAAACTGCTAGCTTTACAAGGCTTTGAGAGCAGAATTCTGTACGCTGTTCCTTTTTCTTCTTCCCCTCTCAGCCAAAGAGACTGTTCCTTATTCTGTTGTAAAGAATGTGTGAATGTTGTTGTTTGAATGTTTGTGTTGCTTGTCTTTGATTATAATCTGCAACAGGACTCCAGGCATCTCTGCAAGGTGCACAGAGCGGTGGCCAGGCTCCACAGCAGCGGGCTGGCTTGCAGCCCTCTGTGCTGCTTCACCCCTGCACCATAGGTGTTTCTCAGGGAGTAAGATGAAGTCCTGCCAGAGATGTCTGCTTCTAAAAGATAGTAAAGGCTTATGCTGGCACCGTTCCACTTTGAGGCTTCCTTATATCAGGCTACCAAAGACTTGTTCTCAAGTTCATATGTGAAAGAGCGCTAATAAATATCCTACAGCTTGGTACCATCCTATTATGTATTTAAAGCATTAGCTACTGTGTCAACATCTACCTAAGTGAAAGGCTTTTCAGGCAGAGGAAATGTCATACACCTTTCTCTCCACCTTACCCTAGAACGGGGGAGGAAAGACTACAGCCCTGCAGGGTCCCCCTACTTCTAACTGGAAATATCAACTTAGCTGGGTGCCACAGCTGGCTTTCACATGTTGTAATAGTATTTGAGGAAGTCTGGAATTCTGCTATTTTCAGCAGTTCTTTGTCGAAAACAAAACAAAAATAATTGCTCCGTTATTCTCTTCCAGCTGAAAAGAAGCTACCACAGGTGGGAGAAGTTAATAAAGTCACTTGCTGCTGAGTTTCACCATCCAAGAGGCAGCTGTAATGTGGAAAGAGCTGAAGGAGTTCATATTAGCCTGGATGAGAAGCACGGGTTGGGGCTTTGATTCAGGGCTTTATGTATATTTAATGTATAAATTCAATTTCTGATTTCCAACCGTCTGGCTGTATTCTGTCAAGCAAGCCTCTCCTACAAATAGTAGAATAAAAGTTAAGCATATAGAAAATCCCTTAGTTACATAGCAGATGATGCTAAATAAAATGGAAACATGTAGTTAAGATCACTGCCTCTCTTCCCTTTGCTGTGTGTAGTGATGTGTATTTCACATGGGAGCCCTCACAGTCTTCAAGCTCGGCTAATATGTAGCGGTTGCTTTGCATGCTGTGTGTACACCACTTCTTGTTAAGAATTCGTCATTTCTCTGAAATGCTACCAAAGTTACAGCAGGGAAATGCATGTGCCATCAGGAGTTCATACCTTTCCATTTCATGCCCCCTTCCATGCCCTCCTTCCCCTGGTACAGTGCCAGCTGGTGTATCTCAAGCTTATAATTAACTGTCTGCCTTGTAGGGTTTGGTTCATCTGTGAATTGCAGCAAAAGGTGGTACGCAGGCCAGCTGGACTCTGCAGGGAGCTGCAGGCTGTTGAGCCTCCGTGCTGTTGGCACTGCTGTCAGTGTGTCACGGGATGCTTTGTGAAAGGTGGTAGCTGCTGCTGTCTTCTGTGTTCAGGTGTGCAATAATTGAAACACTTTTAATATCTAATTGGAATGGTTAAAGTGTTTATTAGCTAGATATGTTGCTTCAATGCATTGGCAGCTCCAGCCTCTCTGAATTTTTACAAGCTGCGCTGGGCTTGGCCAGCTGAAATCATGCTCTTCCCTGGTGTTACCCAATGAATGGCTACAGGTCTGCCTCTCGCAGTGGATTGGGGTTTCGAGGCGATCAAGCTGCAGTTTAGTGAGTCACTGTTCTTCAGCTGAGCTTCCTAATATGTGCTTTTAGCCAGATGCAAATATGAAGTAGAGCAGGTAGCCTGGACCACTGTAGAGGCTGGAGTGGTATGATGGATGTTTAAGGAGCAGGCAGTTTCTTTCTGGTTTTCTTTACAAGGTGGTTGAACATACCTGTTTATAATTTGAGTGGAATACATGAGATGACTTTAAAAACATGTCTGTCTTTTTGGTTCTAAAGCCTTATGAGGATGTGTGTCTTTAGCTAATATGACCCAACTTCTCAGCGGTAACACCTGAAAAATCTTATGTCATTATCAGTGCTAATAATCAGTCTATGTCTGTGTGCACTGAGTAGCTACCTTTCACTGCCTCTTCTGATATATTTTTTTTTCTTTTTCCCCAGGAGTTATAGCTGGAGTCCCTCTTGCTTTGAAAAGCAGAATGACTGTCTCGCAGCTCTGTTTTGAGGAGAGGGCATAGAAGGTCTGCCACTGCACTTTGCCCAAGGTATGAAAGGTTTCTAGGGCAGGTGTGAGTTATCAGCTGTCTTCCACAGCTTCCCATGGGTATAATAGTCACAGGCTTTTTTTCCTCAAACTTCCCTGAATTAGACAAGTATGGGGCAGTAAACCTGTGGCAAATGAGGTATTGCAGCTGCTAGAGAGGAACAGATCTGTCCAAGCAGCATGGTTAAGGCTGTTGAACTACAGCTTGTGCCATCCTGTTGTTCCGTTGCTGGTGACTTTGCTTCTGGGCTGTGGGTGATTCTAGACTGAGTGGTCTGTCCTGAGACTTCCTCCTGTGGAGGTCCTGGAGGTGCAGGAACTCCCCATTTAGCAGGCGAGGTCAGAACGGGGAGCAAGATCACAACTAAATACGTTTGAAGAGGCTTCTCTTGCTATATTTGCACTTAGTCGGAAGGTTCCCACACAGCCTAGGTATTGCTCTTGCATAATCATATTACAGCGTTGTGTTACAAGGTGCCCCGTGCCTCTTGGCTCGAGTATCTGATACGTGATAGCAGCCTGGGCTTCCTGGGTGTTTGCTTGCCCCTGCTCCGCTGACTTCAGTTTGAACTGGATGCTCTGCTGATGCGTGCTCTCTGCATTTACTTGTTCTGCGTGGACTGGCTTTTAGTACCAGTAAGACTCCTAGAGACCCAGCAAGTCCTGAACATTGCTCCTTGGGTAACGTGATCCTCTGCAGAGTAACTGTGTGATTGTGAGACCCTTCTTCTACAAACATTCCCCGTTCTCAGGTACTCAAACTTTTAAAAGTCTTTTTCCCCTCTCCCTTGCATAGATTTTACTGTGTAATGGTATTTTGCAGCAGTCTTTCTGAGGGAGATTCTATTGCCGTTTGCCTTTTAATTCATGCTTCACCTCCATTTTTGGGCTTAAAATGTCAGGGATAAGTTTTCTTAATGCTCTGACTGTTGAGTTCAGTTTTACACTGCGTCATGTTGCCGAGGGCTGTGTCTGCTTAGCAGTGGAATTTGAGTGGGGTGGAATCAGTGTAGTGTCTCAAACCAGCGTCCAGTCTTTTGTGTTTGTGATTTCGTAGATGGTATTAATGGGAATGATAGAAAGAAGCCTAAAGGAATTACAGAAAGCAGCCTAATAACCTTTTTTAATGGTTTATGTACTTCCTTGAGATACTGGTTATTGATGCATATTTGAGGGTTAAAACCCCAGCAAGAGAGTCTGAGGGAGGAATCCTGATGAGAACAGTGAGAGGTGGCTAGGAGAAATGAAATGCTGAGAACTGAATTGTTTCCATTGCGTGCAGTTATTTCCTTAATTCAGCTGGAAGCAGTGGGCATCCAGTCAGTGGGATGTGATTGCTAGCTTAGCATCAGGCATGTTCTTTAAGCGTGCTGTTTCCTTTTCCTTTCTTTTAGTGGGTTAAAACAACTGAATGCTACTTTGTGCACAAAAGCATTTAAAACACCAAGATATGGGAAGCCGTGGAAGCTTTCAACAAGGGGGATTTTGCGTAATGATTACATATGTAATGCCAAAAAGGGAGATGGGAGGAAGAATCGGCATTTAAGCTTTGCAAGGCTCCTAAGACAGGCTCCTTGTCCAGAGTACAATTGATTTAGGGACATGGTTTAGTGGGCATGGTAGTGTTGGGTTGACGGTTGGACTCGATGATCTTAGAGGTCTTTTCCAACCTTAATGATTCTATGATTCTGGCTTTACATCTCTGTTTTGTACTTTAACTATCATGAGTTTTGTTGGAGCTCTACGTTGAATTTACTGCAGTAGTGTTGGGAAGCAGCAAAGGACACTACCGCGTGCTGGACACAGCACTGGACAGAGACCTGCCTTTTGTTCTGTCTCTGCCACTGACTTGCGAAGTGATGCTGGGCAAGGTATTCTACCTAATGTGTGTCCTCCTCTCTATTTGTGAGAAAGAGTTAAGGCTTCTAGTAAGGTCTGTTTGTGAAAATTGCTAGAATGTATTGTGGTGTTTGGTGTAAGGGATCTAAAATTTTCCAATTTTTTTTTTTCTATTACAGGTGTGTAGTAAAAATGGTGCAGAAATACCAGTCCCCAGTTCGAGTCTACAAATATCCTTTTGAGCTCGTCATGGCAGTGAGTAATACTCAGCACTTTTACTTCTCCAGCTGCTAAGGGCTGCAACCTCAGGCTGGTGGGAGGTGGGGGACTGCGGTTTTGGCTAGCATGTCTTTGTGGCAACCTTATGGGTACATTGCAGGAACAGAGGTTTAGTTCTCATTATCTTTTTGTCCTTTCTTCAATTTTCCATGAAAAATAAGAATCAACATCTCAGTATTTTAAGAGAGGCAGTTTAGTCATTAGAGGGGGAAAAAAAAAACCCAACAAAACCCAACCTTCTGTAATTACTCTTTCGCAAGGAAGGAAAAAATTGTGACATTCAGGTAGGCAGGGTCAGTTTGTGGCCAGACATTGTCTTTGCCTTATCACCAAATGCCATTCAGTTTAGAATCTCTCTAGATCTAATCCCAATCAGTATTGTAGGATGTACGTGTCTAGAACTTGATTCTAAGTCATACGGAGTTTTTTGATTTGGTTAAAAGCTAGAAGTCTTTGGAAAAATTCTTCCGTATTGTTCTTCCCTGTTCATCCTGTGATTTAAGTGTTTGGAGATCTCCAAATCTGTGATTTCTACAAGGGGCTTGAGGGCTGTAATCGAAGTTCATTTGCTCATGATGCAGAAAACTAACGTGACCATGGCAGCTTCCTTAGGTAGAATTTAAAGACATTTGTGATATTCTGGACTTTGTCACTGCTCTTCAAGGTGTGAGTCAAATATCCTTCTGAAAGGTTTGTCATTTGCATTTCACGGGCAGCACTGAGCATTTGGGTATTTATCTGAGATGCTTTCTTATAGACTCTTGCAAGGCTTTGGTATGTAATCTGTTGGGCATTTCAGTTTATTCTAGGGATCCCCAAGCCTTAGTATTTGCCACTTTTAGTCTACTGCTTTCTTCATTGTCTCTCTTC